TAACCACTACTTCACCAACGCACGTTGGACGCATCTGAATTATCACGTCTGAACAGGCAAATGTGTTCACACTTGAGCCACTTAGAGCCATGCTATAGCAGCTTTGACTTTTCGGAGTTTCGTCCTCATAAAATTAATGGGGAGGTGTCGAATAGGTGGTTGACCAGGCCTCATATGCGAAGTAACTTTCTTGTAGTTATACCGATCTGATGATGGTCCAAGAATTAGCACCCCAAGCGAATAAGGGAAATACAGACCTAAACGCAGCACACAGCTAGACAAACTAATGCTCCTAGGAGTAAGATATGTACCAATCACAAAAACAGATAACAGACAACATTATAAAAATTTAAACTTTCGCAACAGCGAACGTAAGCAAGGCAGCGTTGAAAGCGCCTATCGATTGGTGAACAGCTGTCATGTGTCACGGAACATTTTTCTAGCCACCAAGCCAAATACCAGGCTCAGATACTGGTACACCGTCTACCAGATAAAAATAAAAAGTGTATTTCGATGCTTAGGGTGATTTTATAATTGATTGTTAATGCGAATACATTCTAAGAGGCTTTGCTTGTCTAATATTCACTGGGCTTAGGGTGTCTAAATACATTTCTCCCTTTCAGACCTCCAAATCGACGCCGCCGTCAGTGATGGAAATAGAAATTTTCTACGTAGTATAAGGCGCGTCCGTGCTAAAAATTACAAATACCACATCTAAGTCTTGTTGAACGTGTTCCCCATTCATTTTTCCAATGCCCGCAGTCATGCTCAGGTGACAAAAAAATCCAGAAGCCGTATCCATTTCATCCTTAATGAGGCTTTCTAAATGGATGTAGAGATTAAAAAATAACCTATTTGTAGAGATTAAAAAAATAACCTATTGGATGAAATTTCAAGACTGTTTCTCACGAAACTAATCCAATATTTGATCATTTACCGAATGAAAAGTATTTATCTGCATGTAATAAATTTGGTTAAAATCACCCGTCAGCTTTGTCTTTTTCGCATTTTTTTCTCAATGAGTCCCCGACTCAGAGTAATTTGCGCAACTTCAGTGGAGCTGCATTGGTTCAAATACCAGGACGTTATTAAAGATATTTCAAATAACGTTTCAAACCATCAGACCAAACAGGGCTCGTTAGAGTGCAAATGCAGAACAAACATACAGTGATGGATGTATATAGTACATTCCGATATTGCGACTTTCAGGCCTGTATGAACATTCAATTCAAGTGTGACTGCTCTGGGTTACAGTGATAACCATGATAAGCCAGATTAATAACGACGAAAAGCTCGGTACACAGGATGATATAATGTGGTTCACCGTTCAAATATGCTACGCAAAAAAGTGCAGCGTTTTTTTTGATTCAATGATTGGCTTCGAAATTGCTTGCGTTTCTAGTTTTGATCTATGATTAGTTTAGCAAAAATTACCCGCTAGAAGCCTAAATTTTAAGACGCCTATGTTTCTTTTAGTATCCAAATCAGCTAGCAAGCGCTCAGAGGAAAAGCTTAATTTTTAGGTTCTATCAATGGCCTGAAAATCTGATTGTTTCCAGCAGAATAAGTTGATCTTGAGTTGAGTTGAAGCAATCTTCGTGACAGTTGAATTAGCGTCCAGAACGGTAAAGAGCGTCCTTCCGCACGACGCCATTTGCTTCATGCCATCAACTTTAGGAAATTTTAATTTAAATGTCAACAAACCCTTGCATTTATCTTCTCCCCAATAGACTCACTCAAGCCAGCTTGCTTGTTGCGTGACGGTGTTCTGTTTATTCCGCTTCACTTATTTTTTTCCTTGACAGGGTGTGTCCAACTACCTTATTCTCAGCTTGGCCGTAGCGGATCTGATGGTTGCCACTCTGCCAATGCCTATATCGGCCGTGTCCGAAGTCTCATTAGATTGGTGGCTCGGTGAGTTAAAAACATTTTGCGTTGGCAGAACAAAGTCAACTAAATATCCGCCATTTAATTCATATTCACGGTTCTCCTCAACTGCGAGGAATGTGACGAATCTTGTTAGAAATACGCATTGCCGTGTTTGTGCAAGAATGATTGGCTGAGCTCATCATCTGCTTCCTCATTAATTCAGTGACACCCTTGTCCATTTTGTTGACTGACAGAATTGAAGTTAGCTATCTCTGAAATTATCGGAGACAAGCGGCCAGTGAGGATGAAATAGTTTATTGTATGAGAGTTTTAAAGCGACTACAGTTGTTTTGTATCGTTGGAAAATACGTCATTTTCTCTAGCCCGTAATTCAATGTTGGCGGTCGACCTTGCTTTGATTCGTCTTCATCCTAACTGCCATCGGATTTTTATGAAGGATACAAACACATGTGTATTTTAATCAGTGATTACGAAGGTGAACGTTGAGCATACTCGCTTGATAAGAACGCAGGTGCGCCATATCACTGTAATGCAATCTGGGATGTTCTGCCAGATGGCGGTCAGTCCACGATAACCGATTTAGTCCGAAAGGATGAAAAATGGTATATTTGCCTACGAATATAATCTTCGTACGGCCCATTGCTCTTGTGAGGTCAGAAGAGTGCGTCATTAACGTGTTATTTTCTCTGGAGCATCTATAACAGAACTTGTGCACCAATGGCCACAACTCCGCCTTTTGTTATGAATTTCACCTTTTTTCGGCACTGAGCTTTGATTTCAACAAATTCCCAGCTATTTATGAAAAATCAAGTAGTATTTGTGGGTTAATTTTAATGATAAGCGCAGCAAATAACTAAAACGCAAGGGGATATATGAAGAAGTCCTCATACTAGCAATTTACTAACTAAATTACTGCTACATCGAAGATCTCACTAGTGTACTTTGCTCGAAAAATGTTTATCCAATAGCTAGGTGCAATTACATTACATACTAAACTATAGTCCACCAGAGCACCAGTTATCTGAACTTTCACTGGTGAGCAGGACATTGCTGATTCAGGATTATTAATAAGCATCGTCTTGCGCGTTTTTGTTGTTTCGACTCCAAGATCTTCACTTTCGTTACGCTTGGAAATCGTCAAAATCGAGAAAAAGTTTCAATTTATAGCATGTTCAGGCAAACTTCGGGCTGTCTGGTTACAGTCGAACTTCATTTGTAATCGCTGTCTGCGTGGTTTTCTTTACAGATTTTCCACGGCTCAACAAGAATAAGTTCTAGAGGAACTGGTCATGCGTTGGCAATTTACAACACAAAAGGCAGCAAGTCTTAAGCAAACATTTTAGGTGTAATTAGGTAGATACGGTTCCATTCAGGGTACAATAGTCAGACCATTATTGGAGCTCTCTTCCACCACCTATACACCATTACTCGAGACTATACCATAGGCTAAATGCAGATAACCTGCTTAGCGCGAGATAAAACTGAGGCGTGCAGAGGGATAAAACTTACTCTCCAGCTAGATTCCATGGTAACCTAACTATATTCAGCCAGGTGTGAAGAGCTTAGAACACTGCCATATTCACTACAGGCAATTTTGCGATTAGAACACTGTAACTGCCATATTCACTACAGGCAATTTTGCGGGTTAAATAGTCGGTAATGTCGGCGTGTTGTGTTGGTGGATTCATTATTCTTCCTAATTACCATTTCGTTTCCATCCAAATACACTAACCTTCACAACGAAAGCGTCTCCGTTTTATCAGAACTCCTCGTCGGCTGTTCATCACTTGAGGAAACGCAAACTGAGCTGAACATATATGTTGCCGCTTCCTTTAGTTTACCGTTCCAATGGTGGGTTTCCGTTCGATCCTTTACACAAAAGGAAAACTTCTTATCTGTATCATTTTGGTGTCACAGTCTGACATGGAGTTTTATTTGTTTCATTTTCTCCTAATCATCAATCCGTTGTGAGTCGTACCAACACTTCTAATTTGTCGTTTTAAAAACAGCAATTATTCAGATATGCATCATAAAATGCGAAAACATCCACTGTAGTTGCGAGTCACTCACATTACGCTATATTGTTTCATAGAGTAATCACTCCATTGCTGTTAACAGACTGACGTTGTTTGTCGATTTTATTTCTTTATTTGACGTAGCAACAGTCTAAAACATCAGCGCAATCATAATTACATGATCCTATTACATGAGCTCCAAAACTTAAACAGTCTTTAAAGACTGAATGCAACTTATGTCCGATGAAAATCCAATTTCTTCCCCAGTCTTTGCTTAAAGCACCAGACTGAATGCAACTTATGTTCGATGAAAATCCAATTTCTTCCCCATTCTTTGCTTAAAGGCACCCTTGCAGCTAAACGGCAACGCACAGAATATCCGACGTGACAGAGGCGTCATCAGCTTGATACGACACGTCTCTGACGTGTTGCGTTCTGTCGACTCACCCAAAGCGCTGCTGGGATGTAGTCCAAATTTCCAGCAAACTGCTAGGTCACTACTATTCGAACAACCTCTAGAAAACAGAAGTACCGTTTCACCACGTCCAAATAATGGAGGACGTCCCTTGGAATTATCGCTGAATTAGAGCAGAGCAGAAAATTGGTGGGATGAAGTAACGGACTAGAACAACCAATGGTCCTGCAACCCCCTTGGTCAAACATATTGGTTATTTAGAGATGCAGTCCTGTTTACCGCAACAACACAACTCTAGATATTCCGACGAATAACAGGACTCGGTACTATGTTTTAAAAACCTTGGAGTTGGTACTCGCGGTATTGGTTATTTAGAGATGCACTCCTGTTTACCGCAACAACACAACTCTAGGTATTCCGACGAATAATAGGACTCGGTACTACGTTTTAAAAACCTTGGAGTTGGTACTCGCGGTCTCCTTCGTTCGACAATTTTTCACCAGTTGTTCTTTCTACAAGAGTTGAGTTATATCCGCATTTAGCCCACAGGTCTTACGCTTCTTGTATTCAGGCACAGACTTATCACCACAAACGTAACAAACCAGCTTTTTAAACGTTTTCGAAAACTCTTCGAACCGCTGTGTATTTGATTGTCGTGCATATAAGTATTTTCTAATCCACGCACCAAGTTAAGTTTTTACTCATATATGCTGACAGTTTGTCGTATTTTGCAACATTTGGGGATTTTTCTGTAGGCCTGTGCAATGTTGGAATTCGCTACAATTCCCTCATTCAGTGTAGAGTAGAGGATTTGGATAGTAAGATAGCGTGAAAATTTACGAGAAACCTGAGATGCGCTGATAGCGTGAAAATTTACGGGAAACCTTACCGCCTAAGTTCAGGAGCGTTATTAGAAACTATACAGAACGTTTGTTATTTTGGAGGACGCTAAATTGCAAAAATCGTACTGTTACTAATGGTACATTTATAGCATGAAACCTCTAACAATCAACGCGTCATTTTCTTATTGGGATTTACACATCTATTTGCAAAACTATGTGTAATGTGCTGCTTCCGAAGAATGAGAATTAGCAATATATCTATTGGTCGGTTTATAGTTCCACAACATTGGTCTTGAGTTCTCAGTGTTCAAAAAACAGCTGACAGTGGTCACCTCAGACTGAAATTTATGACCCGTCGTATCGCACTCTTTGGACAATTGACACTATTGAAATATAATAAAATGATGCGAGCCCTTCCAGTTGTGCCTCAATAAACAATTCGCGCAGTTGTGGAAAAAGATCATCAGCCCTAATTATGCAGTAAATCATAGTTTATGGATATAGACACACGTTTGTCCGATTGTGTGATAAAATATTCAGTGTCCACAAGATCAATAAAACACGATCTGCCTAAAAACTTTTCTAAAAGCTAGAGAATAGGGGCAGTATTATCCAGCTGCAGTAATCGGCATTATTTTGAGTTAGTACAATCAGCACTTCTCATCTTATTTCATCTAGCTTTATCTACACATAACGAGTGACTGATGCTTGGTTTTCTTTGCATCTATATATCCAGGGGGTTGTCAGACGTAGCACACTGGGTTCAATCTTACAAATTAATCTTACTATATAATAATCTTTTTTACCCGCAGACTTCACTTCTGACAATCTCAAATGTAGAGTGTGCATCAGAGGATTTTTCAATAATGCTAATTGGTAGGGTTTTATAGGAAACACTTTTTAGGTTTGTGCGCATTTCCGGTCGAACCACAGTGTGGGGAGCATGGGGAGCAGAAAAATACCAAATTGTGTAAGCAATGCGCGATGCATTATGTTTTGTTTTAGCACCTGCTAGTAGTTTTGTTGAATGCTAGGATTTTGTAAAAAATATTGCAATGCCATTCATGATGGTGCTTGACTTCATTACCTTTAGAATTTTGTTAAGTGCAAAACACTTTTTGCATTTACAAAGAGGTAACTGAAACCTTGGCCAAGGTGAATCTACCTGCTTTAGTAAATATATAAACCAGATTGTAAAGAGGACGCCTTTGGTATGCATTTTAGGGAAAAAAGTTATTGATGAAAAATGAGCCAAAATCAGCAGTTCAAATATATTGAACAGTTAAAAGCAAAATCCGTTACACTGTACCCAGTGAACTAGTGAAATAATGTTATCGGATTACACCTTGCGAGTGAAATTGTTTTCTTCAGTATACGCGTCTTGTAGTGCTAGCAGATTTTGTTTTGAATATATGTGTTTTTTATTTGCAAGGTGCTTTGGCATCCTTGCATGTCAGCGTATGTCATAACAGATATATGCATTCTCATGTATCTTGGCTTAAAATTAATTGTATGGATTCATCTCCGCGACGTGAGCAAGTAGCCCAGCTGAAACGGTGCACCTTCAAAAGTCAAAAAGATCATAAGTTTGAATCACTCCTCCATCCAGTTTGATTTTATTCAATAAAGTGATTTTTCCCGTTAGATTCATACCCATTAGAAGAAATGCTGGTTATGTCTGCAGTAGAACCCTCAAAAGCCATAGAAATAATGCGCTGTTGACGTTGACAATATTGATGTTTACTTGACTGAACCAAAGCTTGACGAACCAATGTACAAGCTCAGGAAACATCCGGGACTAGTCCAGCCTTTATTTATCTAGTAGAGTATCTGGCCGGTGGGCGGAGAATTCCCAGCTGCTATCCCACCACTGATACACATTTTGATTGTTTATGTTGTGGACTTTTGAATTTTGTTCAAATAAAATTACTCGAATATTCTTGACTGTAATACAATGGAGGAATTTTAAGAACAACTTTCTCGGGATGAATATAAAAAGCGAATCTCTTCGACGTTCAGTAGTCAAGTTTTCTGATATTCAAAACAAAAGTAGGATAGCTTTCGCTCATCTGTATGCAAATCACTTGCTCGCGATTTGAAACATTGACACGGAACGGAAAAAGCACGCTCTTTTCTCTTCACGTTGACGAATGCAAATGGAAGTTGTCTTTTGTTGTGTTGGGCTCCCTAGACATAGTTTATCTGCTTGGAACATGCCCAGAAGACGAGTAGGACGGAAATATTTTACTTCAAACAAATTTTGAAGAAAATGTTTCATATGAGGCGCCGATTTTCCAATCCGTCAAACACTAAAACTGAGGATGTTTCACAGAGTTTCTTCTCTCAAATGGGTTACGGTTGTGAAAAATGTGCAAGTTTGCGTTTTCACAGCCAGGTCCTGAAAATGCCCATTTTTAGGCATTCACAAATATCTGGAACGGAACCAATAGGGCAACTTTTGTTGTGCGCATATCCTTAATGATCCAAAACAGTTTGCTCAAAATACCTGTACTGAGATTCAATCTAGGATGGCTTTACACAAGAGGGTAATTCTATAGTACAGAAGGAACCTTCTCCATATAAGGGATTGCCAAATATTTGTAAATGCAAATGAATAACTTTTATTCGGCCAACGCAATTTCAGCCACTGTGTGAAAATTGAGGCTTCATTTATATTCACGCCACAGGCGCACAAATTCTTCCAAATTATTTTGAGAATGTAATTTAGCATAGTCGTTAGAACTAGAAGAATGCTGAACATAAATACCTCCTCACTATAGAAAGCTGAGTTACCGGGCCCAAAATAGAGAGCAAGTGCTTTCGGATATTTTACTATCCGTTTTTGTGAATTGAAGCATCAAAGATGCAACTTCTCGTCTTCCAGAATTATTATTTCTTTTAAAAACAATTCTTTATGTCTTTTTTCAACGTGGCCTAAAATTCTTTGGCATATACAGCTAAATTACTTTGACCATGAAGGGCTTCCTCTGGATGATGGTCCGCTTTGGCATTGAACCACTGAAATATTTCGAAAAACATATTGCTGTGTGATTTGTACTTAAACAATCTTTGGAAATCTAACTGCTTCGTTTAAATGAAACCTACAGATTCTTGGTTCTATTTGTTCGAAAATTAACTTATTCTCCCCTTATAGTAATACTTATGTAGGTGTTGTTCCTGGTGCTTATCAAGTAGCTGCAATAAAATTTTGCGTTTGGCTTGCTGTAAACAACTCTCATACATGTATGATTAATAATGTCCCATAGCATTCGAAGCTCCAACAATTTAAGCAAGCCACCTATGTCTAAATATAATGCTAATTATCCGACTTTCCAAAAACAATTTACAAAGTTTAAAACACAACTATTAGTGCCGTTGAAAAATCTGTCTTTTGCTCATATGCATAACTCAACGCTCTTCGCAAATGCGCTGGTTGCGTCTATTGACAAATTTAGTCGCATTCCCATTTTGGATTTGATTTCTCTAGCCCTTAAATTGTTTGCCCTTAGATCCTAAATAAATAGTCGCCCGAGAACAATCCGTTCTGTCATAAGGCTCAATCCTTACTTTATTTACAAAACCCTCGGATAAATTGTGGGCTCACAGCGCCATACTGACCCATTTCTCTAACAAAATAAGATGGGTTTAGATATTCCAGCTGATTTGGGTTAATGTTACTGAAAAATAACGGCGTTTGTGTAGCTAATCAGTTAGTTTCCTATAATACTTTGCCATATTTTGATGGACAACGTCTGACGGATGCCCTTCAGGATGTACAAAATCCTTTCTAATGCAAATCAAAATAAGTTAGTTTGTGTGGAACTTCGGCTGCAGCAAACATTTAAGGAACGCATATGATCGCTGACATCTACATAACTACAGCGCTTCCTCATGACGGTCTCTGATTCTTCCAGAGGTCCTCATGTTAGTCGAGCCACGAGCCCAGATGTATGTCCAAAATAATGAACAAAGATTTCATGCCTAATGAGATCATCAAGGCATGCGCAGCGGAAGAAAACACCCGACGCTTGGATTAACGAACAGTTATGGTCTAACATCCGGTCATTCATCTTCAAACTAGCTTGCGCGGGCATTACCTCTTTCACCTGAAGTGTTATCTTCAATGTAGCGGCTACTTGCATTTTTGAACAGTAACTCACTGATCAAGTGAAACATGAGGTTGATGAAAACTCGGGGACTGCGCCTACCTGATGAGGCTCAAGAAGGGCGAATCCGGTCGTGGGCTATTGAAGAGTTTTCAGTAACCTTGTGGGTAGTTTCCTTCATGAAAATTAAACTGATTGCGTTCAAAATTAATATCGAATAGCAGTTCACAATTGCAAATAGTCTGACAATTATCATGTCACGGGTTTCCCCAAGCCAACAACACGCGTTCACTGGAGTGAGTAAAACCAGATATAGCACAGCCATTTTGAGTAAAGTGCTATTTCGAAATACGCACAAACGCTACGGAGATCATCATCATTTTTGGTGATAGAGGCTGAGATATATCAGATATTTTCGCAAATCGCGAAGTCTCATTTGTTTTTTATCGTAAGGGTAAAAGTTGTTGTTGGAAGAATCGTGCAGTTCCCATCATTAGTAATTTCAGTAAAACGGTTACCAGGTTTTTCGGAATATTTCTGTTTGAAGAAACAACTTTGTGTCATCGGCCGATTTATTGGCGATTAACTAGTCGTTAGTTGGTATAGTAATATAGTTTTTATATGGTGCAAGGAACCGAAAAATATCAGCCAGAATTTTCGGAGAAAAAAACAGTGCAGAATATTCTGCCCATTCAGCCTGTGTGGTATTACATATATCGTGAGATGTTGAAAGAGCATGCTATTTCCAGGCACATGTGAGCACCTTCTTTTATTTGTGAATTTGATCAGTTTGCCGAGATCTTTCTTTCTGGTCCTAAACATGTGCATCCAAATGGCCATCACCCAATTATTTTTTATTGCAATGGCTGAAAATTGGGCATCTTACCTCATTGATAAGACTGATGAGGAAATACCTGACAGCCAAATTCCTTCACAGGTTGTCCCATACATATCTAACTATCCCTAATGGATCAGAATCTCCGGTATTACGTACAGCTTACTTAACTTTTGACAAACAGTGAAATAAAGTAAAACAGATTTTGACTATATTGGCTTTTTTGTCGCAATCACCCTCATATTTCTAAGAAATTGGCACATGATAAACAGACCATTCGAGAAAAGGGACGATTAACAAGGGTGTTAAACGAATTCAGCTACACTCACCGTGCGTTCAAAAATGTCTAGCCGCCTGCTGCTGCTGAGGCTAATAATAGAATCTCATCAATTTCCGGATGACCGGTGATGATGAATCGACTACTGCATTCACTTACATTCCTGTGGTTTGCTGAGTTTCTAGGACTGGCTACGTTTTGTGCGCGATTTGGAGTTTTCAACACTTCGCAGCGGAAGTATACGTTAAATAATGCATGTGAGCTTAGCCCATATTTCAGTTTATAGAGGAATATATGCGATTCGTTGATTTTTACCTGGGTTACTTTCTGGATGGTCGACTTGAATGAACAAGAACATAGTTGATGGGGCTGATGATAATCATACTTTTACGTCCACTCAGATACTGCAGTTTTTATTTTCAAATTTATGACTGAGTTGTTTGTTTATGCGTTTTTGCAGGAGAGTCAATATGTGATTTCTGGATCTGCTCCGACGTCCTCTGTTGCACAGCATCCATTCTCCATTTGGTGGGTATCGCACTTGATCGGTATTGGGCAGTGACTAATGCAGAATACTTTCGCCGTCGAACTGCTCGACGCATAGGAATAATGATTGCCGCATTCTGGTTCCTATCCCTGCTGATTTCACTGCCGGCTCGGTTTGATTATGCCCGAATTACAAACTGGATTAATGGAGTCAGCACCAACATGACCGAGGTGTGCTCAATCAACAAAGAATATGGATATACTATATTTTCCACTGTTGGTGCATTCTATGTTCCGATGTTGTTCATGATCGGAATTTATGCGCGTATTTATGCTGTAGCTAGATCTCGCATTCGTAAATCCGCATTTCGAAAGCCTTACTGCGTTAGCAAATTGGCATCTAGATCCCATGTTCCCAAGATACAAGTTGAAGGTAACAATGCGGAACGGCCATCCTCTATCGATCGCTTCCTCAAATGTTGTCACATTTGTTACAAAAAACCACCAATGTCAAATCATCTCGAACCAGGGTGTGGACATACGGAACATACATATTTAACAAACCAGTTATCTGCCACCGTCAGTTCTCGTGCTTACCACTCGTCTTCCAACACAGAATTGAATAGAGTTAATGGGTGGAAAACAAATCCAGCAAAAGATGTTATCATGAGTTTGGATGACTTGACCAATGTGGTGACGCCGCGGGATCAGAAATCCACGGATCCGTCAGACTGTGATGAGAAGCAAATTAAACCTATTGTGAATATACAGGAAATGCAGCGGAAAGACTCTCCACTCCCAAAATTCACGGTGGACTCGTATCCGGAAGAACCGTTGTTTGCCAACCGGAGTTTGAGTATATTTCACAAACATTATTGGAATGGTGTCTGTCATTCTGCTCCGGTGAGCTGGTACAATATAAAATCTTTGGACAGTCCGACCATATACTCTACCAATTCAGGTGACGATAGTTCAGAATCAAGAACAGATCGATCAGACGGCCCGGGTGACTGGTCATCATCTAGCTCCGAAATACACAGACACTCCAAACACTCCAGCATAACGCTTGATTGGTATAATACAAAATACAAAGCAGCACTCTGTAAACTATTTCGAAGTCTGCTGAGAAGAAACTCCTGCAATCGCCAACAGATGACACGCTGGAGGCTAGCACGAAGAGGTCTATCAGAAAACGCTGCTGAATTTTGGCAGGCCTCACCAAACTTTCGGGAGAAATACGGGGATGCAAAACAAATGGTCAAGGAGTCAAAAGTCGCCTCGAGTACCCTGATCAGAGCTTCTGAAGCAAGCCTTCTACTAGCGGGACAATGTCCCCCAAGTCCGCTTACTCTGGAAGCTGAGCAACACAATGAAATTCACCACCAAAAGTCCGCCGACGAAACTCCTCCAGTCTGTACCCAGACAGAGTTATCCGCAACGGCTGCAGCATTAAGACGTGAACGCATAGAAAACAAAAGGGAACGAAAAGCCGTGATGACTTTGGCAATTATAACTGGATGTTTTATGCTTTGCTGGCTACCCTTCTTCATAAACGCTCTCGTTTCGCCTTTTTATGAAAAGTGGCAGCCATCGCGTGCTACTGGTGACATTATCCTCTGGCTTGGCTATTCAAATTCTCTACTGAACCCAGTTATATACACTATATTTTCACCAGATTTCCGCGGGGCATTTCGGAAAATTTTGTTTGGTAGATACTATCGTTGGTCCAGAGAACGTTAAGACTTCTTTTTAAACCCAAAGCTTACATCCTATTTTCAGATTGACTATCACATTCCAGTGTCTGCTCGCACCCTAACTGGCATTGAGTAAATATATACGTTTTACCAGCCATTGGTTAAAAACGTGGATTCACTATTTGGTTGTTATCTTCTTTGCATCTGTCGGTGGTTAACAACGTTCCAGCATTAGCTGTTCACTGCGAATAAGCACTGTGCGGGGTGGAGTGATAATTTTCACTAACAAAGCCATAGACGGTATCTAGGTTATTTGGTATCCGATAGCTAATCTAGGTGATTGTTTCCAGTGTTTTGTCCTAAACCTTTAAATTTTTCTCCGTTACTCCACGGGCCATATTTCTTGGTTAGAAAATTTTGGAGACAAAAATCTTTGCCCAAAAACAACCATAAGCATAATGATGGTGTCCCGCTGGATGAAACGCTCTGTATGCTTAAATGTGGACGTGGCANNNGATAGCTAATTAGGTGATACTTTCCAGTGTTTTGTCCTAAACCTTTAAATTTTTCTCCGTTACTCCACGGGCCATATTTCTTGGTTAGAAAATTTTGGAGACAAAAATCTTTGCCCAAAAACAACCATAAGCATTATGATGGTGTCCCGCTGGATGAAACGCTCTGTATGCTTAAATGTGGACGTGGCAGTTTTGCTAGTTTAGTTTAATTGATTTCACGTACCAAGTTATTTTTTGAAGTAAGGTTTGGCATCCGTTCATTATCCTACTCCTACTACGCTACGAATATTAGCTTATTGTTCAATATGGAAATCCGGTTGCCTCCCGAAGCTTGGTGAAATACACAGGTTAAATAATACATTTGGTCATCCTTTCAGGCAAATTTTGTAAAAACAGAAAAAAAACAGATCAGCCCATTATTCCTGGGTCAAGCCTTCAATATTTGGATCACCTAGCGTTTTTCACAGTAAAATTGCAGGGAATGTTGCTAAAATTCATGATAGAAATATTCGACTGAAAGCTTATTTGTGCACTCTTATGTCTTCGCATCCAATGTTGCTAGAGATTTACTTGTTTGGATTGTTGCATGCCTGTGTTTTAAAGAGACTACACCAGTTGATTCATGGATAGACAGCGTTGTTGTCGCGACCATTCCAACAACTGTTACACTGAGTCTGTGGGGTGAATTATGAGCACGATTTTGTATTTGTCCACGTCTCAGCCAATGTAATCATATTAGGCACATAGAGGACGTACTCAGGATGATCAAATGTTAAGCATGCAGATATCACAGCCATCCGGCGCTTTTACTGATGGTGATCAAGCGCCAATCCTGAGATTTAGAGGCGAGACATCCGCCCTTGGAAACGCTTAACACGAACCGGAAGCGTTCTAGATGTCCCAGATATCTCCATGTACCGAGTATATGGCATTAGGCTGCACTTGGTTCATATTGATGCTTCACGTCAGCACAACAACGGTGATGTGTTAATCCCACTTGAAGTGATATTATATCAAGATGGAATCCAGAACATCTCATATCATGCTTATGTATTCTAGGCCCCTATACGCTGTGGAAAACACGCGTAGTGGGCCAAGAAATCAATAACATGACATGCAAGTGAAGAATATTTAATGATTCACGATATTAGCTACCAATCCTCGACGTCACTGGCACAAGGTCTCGTTTAAATGTGATTTGGCGCAATGAATTTACGTGCAGCATCAGACAATTATTTGGATGATTCTCACGAACACCGTTTGACTCCATTAACCTGCTTTGGCCAAACGCAAATCTCACTAAACCAGGGTACCATAAGTGACATTGGTCGACAAACAGGTAAAATATTTTAAATCCCTTTTTGTTCGAAATTGATCTGCAGATTTACTAGTCAGACAAAATGTCTTCAGTTTCACCACAAAACGGTTTTGACAAAAGGAACAGTTGGTAGGTAATTCCTCTGTCGGATGTAGTCTATACATTTTTTAGCAGAGGTTAGCTTGTTTTCAACTATATTTCTGTAAGCAGGCTAGCACCCTCTGGAGGCCAGTAGTTTAGTCACGATTGCTTACAGAGTGGTATTTTGAGCTTAGATTCACACTAATCTACAATAGGCTATCCAAAAGCGTCAATAGCCTTGGGAGCTTAAGAGCATTTCTACTGACCCAATTTGACAATAAAATGCCAAAGAAAAATACTGTTCTTTTTCTTGGTAAATGACGGCATAACGCCGACAGAGTTCTCGGGAGTCAAAATGCTAGTAGCTAAATAACCCAGTAGCTGGCGAAATGAAGCATCTACCATCCTACATCCTCTGCTGTAGAATAGTTAATTAACTACGTGGAATTCGCTTTAGATGGCATCCATAAGAAGTATCCTGATGAGAATTTACTGACGAGAAGTTATTGAAAGTTTTACTTCAACAAATTTTTCTGACCAGAACAGCATAAAATCTCACAGTCTCAATCCTAGCCTAATACAGCTTTATGCTTCCAAGTCGCCATTTTACGATGGAACCACTTCGTCTGTATCCTGGGCAGGTGCTGAAGACGTCCTGAAAGTTTTTTCATCACCAACCTCATATGCCAGCGCAGCCAATGCTACGCGTCCTGAATAGCAAAAGAATCACAGAAGGAGAGATTCCCGTAATGCTTGTTTGGTATCCTCTACATCTTGTGATTTGTACGTGCACATCATGGCAATTGGAAAAAATGCCTACGGTTCCATCTCAGCTACAAAGACTGTTTATTCAACTGCATTCTAAATGTATTTAGAAGTGAAATCCACCACCAGTTTGATCCTGTTTGAGAGTAATTGAGTCAGATTTATGATAAAGAATAGCAATTGACCGTGTGCTTAACCATGTATCAGATTTATGTGGCAGGTAACTTACTCGAACTGCTACATGCTACTGATTGGCACAACAAATCGGAACAAGGCCACGATTCCATTAACATTCCTGATGGCATTGCTTGCGAGTTCACTTACTGACTGCACGGATTTACTCATTTAGATTGTCCAGAGACAATACTGATCAACACTGACTTCGGAATTCCCCCTTGAGTTCTCCTCGTGATCCCTTTGTCTCCGCGTAAGGGGTCATATACGCAGTATACTTTTAGTATTTTCCATTTACTGGAATAAGGCTATATACCCCCCTTACACCCCTACATCACCCTCAGCGTCCGAATTACTACGTGGTTTGTTTCTACCATAAGAAATAGATCCAACTGCTCACTAGATGATACAGATAGCGACTTAAGGGGCTTTTTCAACATTTACTAAAAGATGGGCTCAGTAGCTGTCACATTGTTGCACAAATTTCCACAAAACAGATTCAGACTGAAGATTCATGTTTGATGCCTGAAAACAAAATGAGACCATGATGTACTTTTGAGTCTTTCGTCAACTGATATACAGCAGAAATACCATCGACCCTTGTCGTAAACTGTGGAAAACGCTGTAGGCGCCGTAAGTTGAACAACTCGGGTGCTACTCCCTGTATGAAACAACGTTGCAAATCATTATACGACATATCTATACATCTTTGCATCTGTACCGAGGTGAAAAATAAGTGCCCTTCAGTCATATTTAGCTACTAATATTTTACGGTGTGATCTTCCGTTCCAGTCGATTTGCTAATGGCTGACTGTAAACGTCAGTGCAAAAAAATAACTTTCAATTTTTAGACCCATCTCATTACTAGCGCAGGTTATTTTGGACAGTTCGTGAGATTTAACCTGATACACCTTCATAACTTTTATACCTAATATACCTGATATATCCCTGTGCACTGTAGTTCCTGCGGGACTAATTTATCCGTGCTGACTGATCGACCTAGAGAACACACTACCGATCTACCGGATCGCCGGTTTACGAAGTCAACATTCACTGCAGTTGTCTGATTAGTAGAACGGACCTTGGAGTTTGCGGAGTGGTTGGATTCGGGATAGATCATGTGGTGTACCAGTCTGATTTTGTAGATCAACCCGGAATAGAGGGTAATTAGATGGTGCCGTTGGATTAATAAATGCAACTGAAGCAACATTGTGCTGTTGTGTATAAAAAAACCTTCCTGATTTACCCTGGGCTAGCCTAGATTCTCCTTTTGGTTTTCCCGCACGTGCCGCAGTGTAATAAACGACTCAATTTTCCAACTCGTTTGGCCGTGTGAAGTTTATTGCCGTGGGTCCTGTCGGCCAGTTTTGCTCACTGACAAGTGCCTTTATTTGTCTATTGATTCCACTGTACCGATCACAGCACCACCCATTATTTCATTGTTGTAGACACAACGTTTTTGTTCTTCTCACGTGGCAACGAATGAATAGTTAGTTTTTGCCCAGGCAACGGATGATGCTTTGTGTTAAACCCCGCTGAAGACCCGCTGAAATCTGCCGACAGGTTTTCTTTCGTTAGCGCTAGTTTGATTTGGGTTTGAAGTGTCCAATCCAACCTCTATATCACTATGTTCGTATGGCAAGTAATGCAGTGTGAACTCTAAGTGTGCTCTGATATACTGTTCGAATCGTTGGATAGATATTCTAGAGTATTCTATTTTTGTCCGTTCTAACAGCTTCAAACTAATTGCCGAGAATCATCAGCTACACACTTAACCCAAAACTTGATACTTAAAGTGCGATATTGGATTCAATATATGCAGCCAAGCCCTAATCCACTGAATACACGTTTCGGCCTCCTAGCTCATTACCAAATTCACACACCCATCTTTCTTTACATCCACCAATAAATAAGTCATAGCATTAGACTTAGCGACAGATTCTAAAGTTTTCCCCTAAAACATGCATTAAGTGCTGGTGGTAGGTTTGAGCTTTATCACCTAGTTGCTATCCGGACCCCACACCTATCCTAGAGATGAATCAGTGGACCGATAAAACCAATAAAAGGCGCTCAGGAACCAATCCATAACCAACTCACAACAACGGATATCACGAAAGGAGTCCACCACAATTAGGAGTTATTCTGCCGACCAATCAAATGACACAAAAAGTCTAGCTGAAAAGCAAATAACCA